GTCAATATGCTAGAAGATTCTTGCACTACATCCTGTCTAGGCCATCAGTTAGTTGAGGCTATGGCTGCCAGAGCCAATGGCTATTACACGGTCAATACTGCACTGAAGGGTGCACGTGCCACATTACCTCATGCATGCTCTCACGTTTGCCAAGCTTTGCACTATGGCCACAAATCGTATCAACTGCACCAAGCCTCCATAGCAGCCAGATAATCTCCGCCTTTGATCCACAACGTCTCATCAAGAAAAACACATTTTCCGTGTCTATCTTTCAACACTTCTACTTATCAGATTATATACCGTTTTGAAAAAAACTTATCAGATTATATGGATTGGGGCACAGATGAGAACTAGCTAGGTGATCTGCACCACCTAAAGTGTCACCCTGCAGTAAGCTTGGGGTAACTACACTTACATGAACCACCCACGAGCATATTTCCTAGGTTCGTCTCTAATATAAGCATGATTTTTTTTTTGCAGTACCAGTGTTCAGATTCTAGAGATGCTACCCATACAAAATATAATAATATATATATTTTCAGCTATGATAACAGAGTGCCCTTTCAGTCATTTCCATATTTAAAGTGGGGAGCTATGCCTATGTACGTTGATGATGATCCAAATATTGTCAGCTAAATATGTTTTGACGAATTAACAGATTTATGTGTTCCATTCTGTGCAGCAGAATGACTAGGGTACATGCAAGTCACTTTTCTATTTCTTCAAACAATACCCTAGACTAGGAACTGTAAAAAAAATGTGTGAGAGAAAACTTAATTACTACCATACTATCCGTATGAAGATTGAAAATAGGATGTATAATATATATAGCTAGAAATTTTAAATGATTTATCTACCTTGAGTTTCAGTATGGTCGCATTGTTGATCACATTTTAAATGCTCCTGCTATTGCAGGCTCAACTTGAATTTTGGCTTCTGTAGGTAAGGAATTGATTCATCTCTCCATAGGTTTCTACCTCTCTGAATTCCTCTTCCTGTTGCCACAAAATTACATCATTTGTGTTTTGGGAAAGTCAATGTATAGATCAACTATCTCTCTGTAGTCTGTACAACGCACATGCTCTTATATTTATTTTGAACTGATTCTTCCATTGTTTCCTTGCTATGCATGGATAACTACAGTACACTAATTTGAAATTATTTGGCAGGAGTAGCGGAGGCCATGGGCCGAGAATGGTGCTAGAGGTATATGTTGTAGCAAGCTGAATATGACCAGAGCAAGTTGTAATTTCTCTTCCAGAATTACCTAACCTAAGACTTTCATATAGCTTGATAGTTATACTTTATTTCCTGGGACAACATGCCCTTAATGTTCATATCATGGTTTGCTTAAACACTATAATTCATAAAAAATCAGAAGTTCTAATTTAATAATAGTATCTAATATAATGGTGACCCCCTATATGTTGCATTGACATTTTAAAGACATTTTTGTTTCCTAGATACATGGAGATACACCATGGCCTCTTTTCGAAAATACTACCAAAGGAAGCACTCACCATGGCCTCTTTCCAGAAATAGCAGCAACATCAACACTCACTTTCAAGACATGTTTCTTTCCTAGATTCAGAAATTTTGTGCGTACGTAGTTCTTTATGGATGAATCTCGAGATCAGCATTTTCCAGGCAGGTAAGGCAGACCTCATCGTTATGTAGAATAGGTTTTAGAGATGGTGTGACTACTTTAAAAAAAATATGTTAACATTATCCACCAGATCTTTCTCTTTCTCTCCATGATACTCGATGTGGTTGATTGCTTGACAAAGAAATTAATTGCATTAACTGACTAAAAGTGGAAATTGTATCGTGTTCTAATATCTGAGTCCTATTTCAATGTTTGGTAAATGGCCATATTCTCCCTTGTGTGCTTATATATACTAAATTCCATATTATATTCCTCCAACAAAGGGGAGACGAAATAGAGTAGATATAAGAATATAAATCCATATGCATTATTAACAAGTTCCAGATTTGTACTGTGGCTCATAGGGCTCACTACCGGTTCAAGAGTGGAACAAGTTACAAATTTTGTTTTGTGCTCATGGCCACATGGGGCTCATGGCCAATTCAATAGTGGATGATACATGGTTGTTGTGTATATGCCTGCTATGTCAATACAATATTATGAAAATTTAATCATATTAAAAAATGCATGCATATGATTGAAATTTAAGCATAGGTCTGTATTTCTATATAACTTGCAACATTCTAATCTTTTCATGTCCCACTGTCCTTATTTCCCGAGCCAATGTACACGATGACCATTTATCTTCTCTGTAGTAATAGGTTGCTACGTGTCAAGCTAAGTACTAGATCAAATTAAGCAGGCTATCCATATTAGCATTTTAAATCTTAAGAAGGTCATTGTAAAAGCATATATGACTTGAAACCTGATCATTATTGCATTGTAGATCTATTGTTTTAGGTCGGATCCCTTTGCAGCCAATTTGTAAGTTTGTACCGGACTGTAGTATAAGTTGTCGGATGCTCAAATTCTTATACTTGGACATTCCTCTTTGTAGCTACACACATTTTAGTAGGATCTAACTAACTTGATTATATCGTCCATTCCTCTGTGTAAATGTAGTGATCTATTATGATGTCTTATTTTTCAAAAGTATATTAATCACCAAGATTTTCTTAAATAGTGCTAGCCTGTGCAAGTGCACGGGTTGATGACTAGTATCAATAATCACTGGAAATTCTCTATTTTTGTCATTTCAAGTTTTAGTGCCCATATTGCTATTCACACTCGGGTTAAACTTCTTGGTATATTTCCATATGTTCCTTGCTTTCTGAGTGCTTTATTCAGTGTTGTCTTAGTTTTTTTTTGCTTGTTTGTCCTGTAACATATAGTATCCTATAACTGGCAAGCTGTTAGATGGTTGGAACATCCATTATATTGATTTGGTTCTATGTCCGATAACGATTGGTCTTTGTTGGTTTCCCTTGTGCTCAGTGACATCATTCCATACGATTTAACATCCAGTATTGTTCTCTTCTAGATAGTTGTACCTTGTGATCACACGTGGATCCAAGAATTAATACATTATCTTTGTGAGAGAAGTGAAATTCAAAAAGTGATCATTTAAAAGGAACTCAATGTCATGTGATGTGGATCTCGAACTAAGATGCAATATGTGCCGACCTCCCATGCCTACCATGGTGTTTTGGAAGGCCCTTGGGCGAAGTCGACGAGAAGGCCCTTAAGACCGGATACATTCAATTATATATCTGTATATACATATACGCATCCACTTTTACTTGCCAAATATTAAGAGTGAACTACTAATTGCATGATTTTAGTTTGAAAGTCTGATAATAATTGTCGAGCAATGTCATATTAATGACAATAATGGTCAGGGTCATGCTGTAGTTCACAACCAATGATTGCTGGCAGTCTAGTTGTAGCATCTCGGTGGCCAATTCACCGCAGCCGGCGGTGATGTGCAACAACGCAAAGTTCCCCTTCTGATCTAGCTCCAAGGGGAGAGGTGAGAGAGAGTGAGCTTGTAGCACCGCTGTGGGAAGGGGCGGCGGTCGACTTCCATGACCTTGTCCTCTATGTGTGTGTGTGTGGAGAGAGAGAGAGAGAGAGAGAGAGAGAGAGAGAGAGAGAGAGAGAGCTTCACCAGGAAGATGATGAGGCTAGGGACGTTGTTTTCAGAAATGTGAAGATGTCCAAGGACCAACATGGCACATCTCTATTGAAGGAGATGTCCGCCCTCTCACCCTCACCTCCGTCTGCAACTAGCAACATGTGAACGCAACAACACCCATGTTGCAAACCGGCTAGAAAGTTCCACGTTTGGCCATGTGCTGTTCGATCAAACTTAGATCGAACAGGTGCGAAGACGATCGACGCGCGCCAAGTAATCCGTCGGTTGAGCCGAAGCGTTTTCCATCAATAAATCATGCCACAAAATCTTTCCAAAAATATACACCCCAAACTGGCAAGGCCCAATTAGCAATGATAGATCGGGATGCGTGCACCATGCATTCCACTTCTTCAAGTGAAACACCACAACTTCATAAGCCTTTTGCAGCGACTACAAAAAACTAAACCAATTGAAATTCTCAAATAACACTCACATAGATGTTTATGATGTCGATCATAGACTCAACTCACCGACGGCAAACACGGAAAAAAACGGGCACAAGAAATGCACATGTCTATCGCACACCCGCCCTCTCACCCTCACCTCGGACCGCAACAAGCGATGTGTTCATGTGAGCGCAACAACACTCATGTTCCAACCTGGGTAGGAAAAGTTCCACGTTTAGCTGTGCACCGTCTGATCAAACTCAGATCGGATGGGTGCGAAGATGGTCTACGCGCACGGAGTAATTAGTAAGCGTTTTCCATCAATAAATTCTCAGATCGGACGGGCGCGAAGACAACCGACGCGCATGGAAGTTTGTTGAGCCGAAGTGTTTGGGTAATCCGATGGTTGAGCCGAAGTGTTTTCCATCAATAAAAACTTAGATCAGACGGGTACAAAGACGGGCAACGCGCGCGGAGTAATCCGGCGGTTAAGCCGAAGTGTTTTCCATCAATAAAGCACGGCATGAAATCTTTCTACAAAAACAAACCCAAATTTGAAAGGCCCGATTAGAAATGACAGATCGGGATGCGTGCACCATCCATTCTGCTTCTTCAAGCGAAACACCACAACTTCATGGACCTTTGCATCAACTACAGAAAACTAAACCGATCGGAATTCTCAACTAAACCTCACATCCATGGTTATGATGTCGAGCCCAGGATCAACTCATGCAAATATGGGTTCAGGCTATAATTTGCCGACTGCAAAGTGCAAACACGGCAAATTAACTAGGCACAAGAAATATAAGGAAACAGTTCAGTTGAAGGTGTCTTGCGCTGCGTCCATCCAATGATAGTACAATCGATAACAATGACAGAATGGTTCATGGCAACTGGAAATGAAGGTAAACATACAGGAAACATTGCCGATCGATCACTGACCAAGGCCGTAGTCGATGCTCAGCTCGCTCATCGGCGGGATGATCTCCATGGCGAAGACCATCAGGTGGGGGCACGACTCGTCCTCGTTGCCACGGACCACGAGCTGGACGAAGGCGTTCGGCACTAAGCTGCTGTGGCTGATGTAGGCCGCGATGTTCTTCCTCTTGGATATATCGAGCACGTACCCCGGCGCCGGGCACTGCACGAAACGGGGCGGTTCCTCGCCGTCGTCCGGAAGCACGGCCGCGGGGGCGTACCCCCACTCCATCCACCTCGTCGGAAACTTCCTCGGGTCGATGAAGCAGGCCCACTCCTCCGTTGACGCGCCGGTATTGGCATTGGCGTTCGCGTTGGCAATGCGGGGGTGATCCGCGAGGAGCACGTCCCCGGCGAACTCGCAGAGGAATGCGCCCGGCTGGATCAGGTCCAGCGTCCTCACGCCCCAATCCGTCTCCGTCGACCGGAACACCTCCAGCCGGTGCCTCATCCCCCGCTGAGTCACCCGGTTGGGGCAGCTCGCCGGGCACCCGCACGACGCGCCGCACTCGTACACCACCGGCCGCCCCCTCAAGAGCATGCCGTCAGCATTGTACGCTGGGCCGCCTCCGCCGCTCCTCTTCACGCAGGCGCAACCGGACGTCTCGCTGCACGCAGTCTTGGCGTTGATGCAGCACTTGTGGCCGGGCATCGCCGGCGGCGCCGGGAACTCGGGGCGTGCGAGGTACTCGAACTTGAGGGGAAAGACGTCATGGTCCACCGTGTTGTGGACGGGGACGGGAACCGCTTCCTTGCCCTTGGACATGTCCAGCGTGATGTAGTCGGGAGGCTGGATCTTGGCGTCGAGCTGGTTGATGAGGTCTCTGGCGGAGCGCCAGGTGTTGCTGCCGAGCGCTTCCTGGCCGGGCACACGCACGAGCTTGAACTTGCAGACCTCGGTGGTGGAATGGACCTTGTAGAGGCCGTCGTAGACGTGGAGCTTGCCGCTGGGGCTGGCGTGGCAGTCGTGGCAGCGGATGACGCGCACCTCGATGCCGTACTTGCAGCTGGATGTGAGGGCGAGGTTGCCGGCGTTCGGCGGGCTGCCGCCGCTTCCCGTGTAGATCAAGACATCCCCGTTGTCGTGGTCGTCGAGGTACCTGCCCGAGGAGACGATGCTGGTGGCGACGGAGTGGCCCCCGTCGAGCTTGCTGGCGGGCACGTAGCCGATGTCGGCCTGCGTTTGGTTGTGCAGGCCGACGACGAGGAGCTCGGCGCGGTAGTTAAAGGCATCGCCGACGAAGACGCCCGGCACGGGCCCTACGATGCGCTTATCGCGGTTGAGGCAGAGCCCCCCTTTGATCATGGCGCCGAGGGCCCGCAAGTCGGCCCGGTTGCGGCTGCCGGGGACGGGGTTGTGCTCGGCGTTGCGGTGGTAGCGGCCCCAGAGCGCCTCGAAGGTGAGTCGCGCGCGGCGCACCAGCGGGCGATAGTGGAGCGCCATCTCCATCGCCGGGTTGGCATGCGCGCTGGGCGGAGGAGGGGGCGGCGGTGGCACATGAGAGGGCGGCGGGGGCAGGGGAGACTGTGGGCGTTGCGGGGGCGTGGCGGAGGGGAGGCTCGCGGACATGGAGTCGAGCTGCTGCTGGGAAAGGCGGAGATGGAGGGCCAAGTCGGAGTGGTCGTCGGGGGAGGGCTCGAGCTCGCCGCGCAGGATGGCGAGGAGCTCGGGCGTGAGAGGGATCCTCGGCGCGCCGGCGTCGGGGTCGGACCTGGCGGCCACCCGGCTGAGCGCGGCGAAGAGCTCGGGGGTGAGCGGGACCGCCGCCGGGGCCGGCGGCGCAGCGACGGGATCTGGCGTAGCCTCTGGATCTGAGTTGGGGACGTGCACGGGAGCGGGCGGCATCGCCGATCGATCTGAGGTCGGACAGAAACAGAAGGGTAGAGGGGTTTGGACTGACGCAGGTCGCAGGCTAGGGTTGGGGTTGGGTGGGAGGCGCCGCTAGCTGCTTTTGTACTCAACACTGGTCTCGTCTGGTCTGGTCTGTACGACAGGTTTCCACTCTCTGTTGCCAGTTGGGGGCCTTGGATGGATGGCCAGGGTGATTTGGTTGGATTCGATTCGTCGATTTTGAATTGCTGTGTCCGGCTGGCCGCCCGTGCTACCCTACCTGTGTAGCGTGGCCAGCCATCCATTCTCTCGAATCATCTCCAGCCAACACCAACCTCCCCTGAATCCTGACCTCCTCTATGTGTCGCCGCCGCCGCCGCGAGCGTCCCACTATCCATCTATCGGCAACGGCGACGAGCGTCCCCATATCTCCTCCGTGCGCCGTAGCCCGATCTTCTCTCCTCCGCCTCCCCCATCGCGCCCGCCTTCTCTGCACGATGCCCCACACCCTCCCATCCACCTTTGCTTCTCCCTGCCACCGGCCCGCCGCTCCTCTGCGTCGCTATGCCGGCCGTTGAACCCCCGCCTCTTTTCGGGTGCTGCACCACCGCTGGATCTAGATGGAGCGATCGACAGACACGACCGTGTGGTCTGCGTGCAGCGTTCGTGGAGGAATATGGAGGTATTGACTCCCATCTCCACTTCTTTTCTTTCTTCACTGGGGGCAGACCGGGTCCAAGGGCCAAGGTGAGATTACTTGATTTCTTCATTCAGGAATCACCCCTCCCCTAATCAGATTCAGTTTTTTTGACCAAGATTGCAACGTCCCTGATATGCTTGATAAAATTGTTCTAACACCAAGGGTGAGAGCTCTTTGTTCTTGCATACCCCTATATTCAACGGTTTATTTGTGAAAAGATGTTTGAGGAAATCCACATACGTCAATAGTAAGTGACTACATATGTTAATTGTTTCATACCGGCCATGTTACTAGATCATGGAGTTTGTTTTGTGTAGAAAAGAACTCCACCCCCTGTCCTTCTTTTAATCACACCTCCTTAATACTTTTCTCTGATAATTTATTTGGCAGTAATCAGGTTAAACTGCAGAACTAGGATGGAAGGAAAGCGACAAGAATGACCAGACCCAACGAAATACATCCAGATGGTGCAAGTCTTTCGGAAATGGCCTTTTGTTAATTGTATTATATTGTTGCTTGTGCTGCAGCTAACCTGATTGTTGTGGATACATTTCTTTTCATTGTTCACTAGGTATGCAATTCTATTGTGCTTATTCTTTTAGTTCATGTCTATCAAGTTCATGTTAGATATGGAGTTGTTTTCACAAAACGCTTTTGTTTCTTCTTGGTTAGTAAACTTCTTTTTGATTTCCCTTATGCCTGCAAGATGCATCCTTCTTGAGCTTCCCAAGACAGTAATATTATATGAAGCAAGGGATCTGCTAATGTCAAGCTATAATGCCATCTCAGGTTCTTGCAATAATCATTGCATACATATACAAGAAATGCAAAAAAAAAAAATTTGCTTGGTTGTTGCTCCCATCCCTACTATTATTGTATGCTACCTATTTTTGCTGGTGATCCTGTGATGTATGAACTTTTCGCCGCATGAACCTTTAGCAGTCGATAGTTGGAGTAATTTGCGAGCCCCGTTGCGTCGCCACTTCCAGGTCTCCTCTTTTTCAACCAGCATCAATTCGCTGGGTCACAACTTTTCCCTAATCTCCCTGCAAAACTGCAGGCTCGCCGTACTATATTCCAATGCATTGTAATGCTTCTCATAGTTTTTTAGTTGGTTGAGACGGGTTCGTTTTTGAGAAAACATCAGCTAGCACTCTCATATGGAATTTCTGCGATTATAAGTGAAGAACTCGAGATACATGAAGGAATTTTTCGATGCAATGCTTTGAATTATTGTTCCCGTCTCATGTCCTCTGAGTATGCCTACTATCACTACATTAGTATTCTTACCTGCATGTTCAAGAAATAATTTCAAGATTTATTTATGGACGTTGCAAATGAGAAAGTAACAAATTGTCGCAAGTAGGATATTTCTGCTGTATTATATATCTGAAGGAATGATCTGCAGTTCGTGCTTGAAAGTTCTTAAATCTATATATGTACTTTGCTCTTTCATGTTTGACCAAGTTCTACAGTTATCTTCAAATAGAATTGGTGATATACCTCTATCTGCTGTAGTTAAAACTACTTGCATTTTATAAAATTGATGCATAGTAGAAGATGTGTGTGGCCTGTGTATTAATCAGTGTACGGTTTTCCCTCAAACTTCATGATTTTATGATTAGTTTTCACTTTGCAAGGTCCGTGCTTTGATCCGGAGGGAGATGCAGGTGTGTATATTTGTATTTTGAGATGGTGATGCCAATATTTGTTTCATAGTGGAGTGACCTGACTAAAAAATTTAGGCCTCATTTCTAGGCCTCCTTGCAGGAAAAACTGGAAAAACAAAGAAGCGCTCAGGCTAGGCAATATGGGAAGCACATTTCAAGTGAAGTCGGCTGGTAGTAAAGCTACCAGATAATCCTGGGTGTCGCTACTTTTTTAGTTTCATTTGGCATTGCCTTATTGTTCCCGAGGGCTGTCTTTTGCTATTTGATTGAGTGTACACTCTCTATGTCATCGCTTTTCATCTGCAAGTATCACATGCTTTCTTGATTTATCTACTAGAAATTGGAGTCAAGCTTGCTTTTCCTAAAAATATAAGTTCCCTCCAAATGTATTACATGAGTGCTCTGTAATTTACATCTGCAAAGGTGTAACTCATGTCAAATCCAAACATTATGCCATGAGTAAATCTTCCTCCATTTAAGCTATTTCTCCCCTACCGTGTTGGCAACTTAGAATCACATATACTCATAATCATTCAAAACTGGCCGTGGACAAATGAGAAGGTACTCCCTCTATAAAGAAATATAAGAGCGTTTAGATCACTAATATTTCTTTACGGAGGGAGTAAATGAGAAGGGTTTTAGTTATTTTTCTCGGCCGCGGCAAAGCGCAGCTATCCTACTAGTTCATTTCTATGTCCCGAGAGCCGGTGGTGCCGTGTGTGGAACACGCTGGACTGGTCTGGTCTGGTCTGTACGACAGCTTTCATCTGGTCCCACTTCCAGCTTCTGTTGCCAGTTGGGGGCCTGGATGGATGGCCATGGGTGGTTGGATTCGATCCCTTGGTGCACCAATCGTTGTGTCCGGCCTCCTAGTCCCGCCTGTGTAGCGTAGTACTACGCGCCGCCATGACACGACTGATCCCTTTGATTGATGGTACACTTCTACTACGGTTCTTAATCTCCGGTTCACCGTTTGAAAGCACCAACACGTTTTCTAGGAGCAGGTTCTCCATTCAATCAATCCGTTTCTATGTTAGTGATGGCTTAAGTGGCGAGCCTTGTTCTGGTCTCACGAGGTGGATATCACGGTGAATAATGTTTCCGATCAACCGTAATGATGATGTTGTCCGGAATGTAGGGAGTAATATGGAAACTTGGCGATTTGCAGGTTCCGTACAAGTGAGCGATCCAAGAGCTAGAACTTGTTGAATGGCTGAAGAGAGGCAATCTGATATACCATGGCTATGCAGAGGGGTTTTTAATTTGATTCTCAACAACTTAGATATTTTAGTGCTAGTGAAAGGTCAAGTGGCAGATGATGCGAATGATAAGCGCGAGATTAAGAAAGCCAGGAAGGAGTTTGAACAATAGAAGGGCAGCTCGCTATACCATGGATCTTCGCCGCACGAGAAGGAGTTGGCCTGACAACTGAACGAGCTTTTGCACATGGAAGAGATCACGGCACGACAGCGGTCTCGTGTGGACTGGCTTGGAACGGGAGACTGAACACGGAATTTGTCCATGTCCGGTCGAGTGCTACGAGAGCGCGATAGGATTTCTTCTCTGGAAAATGCTAGTGGCGTATTATGCAAAAGCAAATACGATATACATGCTAAAATCCAAGGCTTCTACACAAGCTTGTAAGCAGCGCGGGGTGAGCTTGTGGTGGCAAGGTGTTACATCATGTTCTATCTAAGGTTGAAACTAAAATTATGACTGGGCAAATTAGGGAGATGGATGTGGCGCTTGCCACCCAGACTCGTGAGGCCTCGAACACAAGCCAGAGGATCATCGCCAACCAAGATGAGGCGTTGGGCATGTACCGTTCTTGTATAAAGGAATTTTATCCAATGACTCATGGATCTTTTAACGGATATTTCATCACGGCTTTCATCTGAAATTGCTTTGAATGTTAGGCCCTTTTGTGTGCTAAATATTTCTGCTTATAGATGATGATTATAAGTCTTTCACATCTTCCATATCGATCGGGAAGGAGAAGTTAACAACTTGACATGATATTTCACCTTTATTTCAGTTTATCTTGTGATTGCTTGGTGAAGTCTAGAAACTAATGATCCAGATATGAAATAAATCAAGTTTCTTTTCTGGTTAAAATAGAATATGACTGGGCGGAGGGGGAGATAGTGCATGTGGCGGCGGCGGAGGCACATGAGAGTTTAGGCGTGACGGCGGGGGAGGCGGGCGAGACAGTGGACGTGGCGGAGGTGGCATGGTGGAGGG